TTACCAAAGTTGTACTAAAACATTTTTTAACAGATTTCTGCACGCAGAAATCGGTTCGAGGTCAGTAAGCACAACCAGAATTCATACATAAGGCACACTCTCGATTTTTTTTTAAAGGAAATTAAAGGATTTTTAGTGTGGAAAATACGTTATACAGAAGAAAAGAATATATCGTGATATATATCGTTACCGCACATGCTTCAAATTATATCGCGATATGAATTTTAGGCCATATTGCCCAGCCCTAGAACCACTGCAGTAAAGCACCAGAATATCTGACATAGTGCGAAACTGCAAAGATACCCTTAAGTTTCACACAGAGAAACCTCCAGTGTTGAGGTTTAATGAGCACCTGACCTCATTAAACCATGACGGGGGTATTTCACTGATGTATTTTACACCATAATCACAGCTTTCCTTGAATGAGTGACATCAGAGATCATGTGAGTGTGTTCTTGCAGGTCGTGGTGTTCCACAGAGCTCTATTAACGGTCCTTTGTCAAAGCACAAAAGTTTCAGCCTTTTAACAGCAGTTTTGTTTTTATAACACACCTGCTTACATCATATTCAGGCTTAAAGTTTGACACAGGTGCCTGTAGCTGCTAGCTGTCTGCTAGCTTCACCTGAACTGGATGTCTGCACCATGTTTGTGCTGCTGGAGGCTTTTAGAGCATTTTTAATGACATCTTACGACCAATAATATCCTGCTGTGAGTTACTGTACTAACATCCAAGAAGGCGGTGCTGCAGCTCGAGTGAAATTCAAATATTTTCATGTTACTGATTGTGGATATCTGAGTGTGTGTGTGCATGTGTGAGTACCTTGTTTTTCCAACGGAATCGTGCCTGCAGGTCTCTGAGGAGGAGGAGGAACCCTCGCTGCTCTGTAATCATAAGAACAACATTAAACTGGTGTAAATCCTCCCAGCAGACAAACTCAATCAGACCAGTACGTACGCGGGAGGAGAGACAGGGGCTTTGGATCCTGGAGGTCCTCTGTGTTGGTGGCTGGGTGGGAGGAGAGGAACTTTATGCTGGGGTGGTGATGGAGGTGGGATGCAGGGCGGTGGCGGGACTGGAGGTGCTGTAGGTAGTCCTGTCGGCAGGGGAGGCAGAGGAGGGAGGGGGGCAGTCTTGACTGTGGTGGCTTTGGTCTCCAACATGCCGGTTCTCCTGCTGGGCCCAGGAGGAGGAGGAGGAGGAGGAGGAGGAGGAGGAACCACTGAGAGCACTGGGAGAAGAGGGCAGAACAAGAGTCAAGAAAGCCCTGAGCAGTGGCTCCAGGCACACCTCCACAATCAAAGCCTGAAAGCAATCCAAAATGCTGCAGCAAGAGTACTGACGGGGAACAGAACGAGAGAGCATATTTCTCCAATATTGGCTTCATTTCACTGACTCCCTGTTAAATCCAGAACAGAATTCAAAATCCAGCTCATATACAAGGTCTTAAATAATCAGATCCCATCTTATCTTAATGACCTTGTAGTACCATATCACCCCATTAGAGCACTTTGCTCTTGCAGTGCAGGCTTACTTCTTGTTCCTAGAGTATTTGAAAGTAGATGGGATGCAGATTCTTCCATTTTCAGGCCCCTCTTCTGTAGAACCAGCTTCCAGTTTGGATTCGGGAGACAGACACTATCTCTACTTTTAAGATTAGGCTTCAATCGTTCCTTTTTGCTAAAGCATATAGTTAGGGCTGGATCAGGTGGCCCTGAATCCTCCCTTAAGCTGGGCATACACTGTGCGATTTTTTTAGTCGTGTTAATCAGCTTCTGCTCAAACTGTACAATTGACTTGCAGGGGTTAGAAGTTCGTAGGTCACCATGCAGGGTCTCACACTATGCGGCCCGATGCTCTGATGCGACCTCAGTGCTCACACTGTGCATCCCTAACATGAAGGTTATAAAACAAAATCTGTCTCTCGCTCTCCCTCTCTGTCTTTCACTGACACAGACACACACACAACCACCATCAGAAACAGGAAAAAAATAATTTTTCCACCTAACAAACTCATTCACCCAATTAAACAGTTTGAAAAGTCAATCTCTTCACTTAATCTGACTCATGAGGTTATTTTAAACGAAATAAACAATTTTACACAAAAGAAACATTTGGTTACACCCAATTGACATGATCAATGACATCATAACCTATAAAATCAGGAAGTACTGGGGCGACCCGTTTTACACATAGGACCTGCTCAAAGGAACACACAATGGTAAGTATAACCAAACTATATAAACAAATGAAAGATTGTTCTTAGCTTTAAGAACATTTGCACAGATGAAATGAATATAACCAATGCTACCACAAACAGACCCGGGATAGTATGTAGAGCCAAGGTTACATGTGCTTATTTTGTGTTCTATAAGATAACGGAACACAAAATAACAATATATGCATGTGACAAATGGTAAATGAATTCAGTCCTAGCCACTTTGTCACAATACTACACGACGCATGACACACGATGAAGGTGAAACTCGGGCCGATCACCAAAATGGTCGCACGACTGAAAAAAATTGCCTCAAATGCCCAGCATTAGTTATGCTGCAATAGGTGAATAGAGTGTTTCTTCTTCTTCCCTCACTATGTGTTAATAGACCTCTCTGCATCCTGAATAAATCATGAATGAATCATATGAATCATAATTGTTATCAATCTCTGGCTCTCTTTCACAGCATGTCTTTTATCTTGTCTTCCTTTTCTCACCCTAACCGGTCGCAGCAGATGGCCGCCTGTCCCTGAGCCTGGTTCTGCCAGAGCTTACTTCCTGTTAAAAGAAAGTTTTTTTTCCTTTCCACTGTCTCGAAGTGCTTGCTCATAGGGGGTCATATGATTGTTGGGTATTCTCCGTATGTATCTAGGGTCTACCCTACAATATAAAGCGCCTTGAGGCGACTGTTGTTTTGATTTGGCGCTGTATAATTAAAATTGAATTGAACTGGATTTAAATTAATTGAATTGAACTGAACTGGATTAAATTGAACTGAACTTGAATTGAAAGCCTCATACAGCCGGTCCATACCTCAGAAAGAGGACAGAACCGTCTGCTCTTTTCGTGAAAATAAAGCAACAAAAGCCAAATAAAGCTGACGGACGCAAAGAAAAACATCACAAACGAGACCCTCCACTGTGGATCTGACAGGAAGTCCACCCACCGTACTTGGAGTTCCTCTCAGGCGTTTGAGGGTTGGGGGGGTCGGAGGACGACCGCTGTCTGCCTACTGATTCCACGGAAGGGCCTTTATTGGTACCTGACCGTGACAAGACAGAATCAGATCAGTTTTATTTCCTCACAGCTTCACAGGGTCTGAACGGCAGAGCTGATCTCAGCCCAGGCGCCCTCTGACCTCTGCTGGGTCCTCGGGGAGGAAGCGGGGGCGTTGGGCCGGGGGGTGGCAGCTTCACATTCAGCATGGTGCCGTAAGTCTCGTTGCTAATAATGGTGCTGGGGATCGCAGGCCGCTGCTTGTCCAGTGCCAGGGAGGCAACGTCCCACGCCAGCGCCGCCAGGTTAGGCTGCACGGGTCCACTTCCAGGCACAAAGCAGCTGACCGGGCGCTCCTCCCGCCGCTGTGGGATGGGCTGCAGGACCCACAGAAAACACAGGAAGTACAAGGTCACTTAAAGCCAACACAAAGTTTAATGCAGGACGTCAGAAAAGCAGCCTACCTTGTCCTCCATCTCGTCATCGCTCTCATCCAGGTCTTCGTTTTGCAGACGCCACTCATACTCGACGTGAACATGGACGTTAAACTTTCCAGTCTGAGCCTGAGTCAGCTGGAACACATCAATCAAACTTTATTGGTACAGACACTCGACAGCACAGGAACTGCTTTACTTTGAACAGCCTGGAAGTGTTTGGATTCTCACCAGTTCTTCACACTCTTTGTGTCGCATACGTTTGGCAATGTCCAGCGGTGTTTCTCCTGCATCGTTAGCTGTGGACACAAATTCAGTCATTCAGACTTTTGGTGAATTATGTCAGCACATTGTTTCCAAAAGGGAAAAATGATCAGATCTGCACGTTTCTTTGTGTTACTGCAGGTTTTTTTCCCCCTAAAAAGACAAAGTACTCAGCTCTGTTTGTTCTCAAGACATCATTTAAATTTTATGTGATGGTAGAAACAATAACGGCCCCGGATGAGGGTCACACCAGCTGTGAAACTTGCTTTTTTTCCTTCAAACCTCACAACAATAAACTAGAGCCAGGTTGGCTGGTTATTTGAACTTGACCATCATCATTAGTATGGAACGCCAGGACTGCCATAATGAATTAATTAAATACGCCATTAAATAATTAATTAAATGTGGCAATAATCAATTAAAATCTGAAATAATTAATTACATAAACATTTACGACACATGTAATTAATTAATTATTGACACATTTAGTTAATTATTGACATATTTAATTAATGACACATTTAATTTATTATTTATTTATTTCACATTTTAATTAATTATTGCCACATTTAAATAATTATTTAATGGCGTATTTAATTAATTCATTTTGGCACAGTTGACTCCTTCAGGTCTCACCATGAAATAATTTTATCTGTCAGCCTCACCCATCAAACTCAGTGGGTGGGGTTAACGCTGCCATGCAGCTTCTCTAACATTTGATTGGTTGCCGTGCAAAGTAAGTCAAGACAGGTCAATCCTAGATAATCGATTGCTTGTGTCGACTTGGTATCCCAGAATGCATTTCAAAACACAGGCAGCAATGGTGGCGGTGTAGTTTTAATAATAGTGTTTTAGCCGCGAATGTCTGGTCAGGTTGTCAACATAGAACATGTTTGCAAAAGTGCTCAGATGTTTTCAGAGATTTCACTAGCTCTGCTAACAGTCAGCTGACAGAGTGCACCGACCTCACAGCCCCGGTGTTCCAGCTTAACTGTTTATTTTGTGTGTATTTGTTTGTTTTGGAGGGGTGGGGGCTACGTTAACCGGTTTGTTTAGATATTCCACTCTCCGTGTTCCACATGTTGCATTCGCAGATGCTCATTTTCACTGAACGATCGTCTCTTTCCGCCTGGTCTTGTGTCTCTGTGCTTCTGTAACATAAAGAACGAGCTGACGTGTTTCTCACGACACCAGCGATCAGCTCAACAGGCCCTCAGTTTACCTGCATGCATCCTCCTCCTCCTCATCTGTCAGCGGTTGTTTAACACCTGCTGCTAATTCAAGAAACACGTCCATGTTACCTGGTGATAGTCACAGTTTAACTGGGCAGCCGGTTCACAATATAACGCAATGTCAGCACATTTTTCTGCACAAGATAAGTAAATATAGTTTTTCCCAAGCACAGAGCTCCTGGAGCTTGTTTCCCAACAGAGCACTTTATAGGCGAACTTTATCACTTTATCAGCGGCTTATGTCCAATCACCGGCACACAGCTTTGAAACCTAAGCTGAGTTTTAGCTCTCAGTGGTTTAACGCTGGACTTAATTCACTCAGGTTTTGTCTGTCGGGTCACGTTTACTTCGCTGTTTTATTTACAACTGAGCAAATCGGTTTGGCTGAGGTTAAAGTTACGTTTCATAACTGCACCGTTTTACAGACGTTTAATGGTTCACTGGCACATGTGTTAGACTGAACCATTCGCTTTTCTTTATCTGGGGTGTTTTGGTGTTTTTAACAGTGAATTTTGAGAGTAAACCGACTTATAAAATGTTTTAAAGAAAGAGAAGAGAAGGCGCATTTCCACCGAGAGGAGCAGAGTTTGCAACAGCGTGTTCGCAACAGCGTGTTCATCATGAAGACTGCAACCTGGACAGAAATATTATATCATCTGTTTTTTAATAGTTATTCAACTGTATTCTAAGCACCAGCTGTCTGTTAGAATTTTTAGAGTTTACTTAACTAAAAATAAATGAGGTTAACATATGATTTGTGATTTTTTTTTCTCTTTTTTTCTTTTTTTTCCTTTTTTTTCCTTTTTTTTCTTTTTCGGTCATGTTATGTTTAACTGTCAAAGGCTTGTTACAAATTATGAAACACATCGTGCAGACTTCTGGATTCTGGTTAGAAGAAAACTAATACTGCTCATGAATGAGACTAAAGGCAGGAAGGTGTCCTTTAAAACTAAACATGTTAATAGGACCTCCCTATTTATATCATAGTTTATGATATAGCATGTGTATTTCAGTAATAGCCTACTTATTTCAGTGTAGTGATGAACAGTCACACAGCTCACGTGGGCGTTATCTGTGATACTCCTTAACTATAATTTATCCAAGTTAACTTCAGTTAACCATTTAGACAGTCAGACAGTTCTGACTGTTCATTCAGACAGTCCTTTTGCAATGAAAAACATAAACACCCATGCTCCCGGTAGGTTTCCGCTGTGCCAGCTGTTTACATTACAGCTGCTTATGCAGTAACCATGTTAACCACGGACTCTGAGCGGCTGGATCGACGCAGGTCAGACAACAATTTTACATGTATGATCTTAAAACGGGACACAGCCATTATTCGTCCTGGCCTCATATCAAATGTGAACGCAGACTGAGTCTATGTTTGACGTTTGCTTTATATCTAATCTTCTCTCTCAAACATTTAAACAGCAGTGAGTCTGCAGCTGAGGGAACACAAACTCAAATTGTCGGAACAGGTTTGCTCGTTTCTTGCGTGTATTCATTTGGTGATTTATTAAATGTATAACTGTTATTCTAATCTGCTGCTGAGTCTCTTACGCTGATGAAAATGCAGATACCACAGATCACCTGTTCAACCAATCACTTTCATTCCACTTTGATCTGTGACAAACTGACGGTTCATCTCTGTTACATCTCTGTTGCATTAGACTGCTATATTTTTTTGTTCTTTATGCTGTAGATTTTCACGTCTCTGGAATAGTTGGCAGTAATAAGGATGATTTTCTGTTAAATCATATTGATATGACCCGTGAATTATTCGTAGATGACCATTAGATTAGTCAGCTGGGAAACTCTGTGTTAACTCAGAGAGCTGAAGATATCGTGGACATGCTGACCTCGCTCCGTGGTGTACAGGGCCGTTTACCCTCATGATTAATATTCATGATAAAAATATTAGCTGAACATCATGAAGTCTGTATGTGTTTCATAGTGTCGAACAACCTTTGTACAGTTAAACCTAGCAGTTACTACATGACGGAAACACCAACGTTATTTCTTTTAATAATGTTTATGCATTTATACACAGGTCACGCTGATTACTGAACAAAACCCCAAAGATCAGCTGTTAATCAAATTTATTTGCTCTCTCTCCTCCTTAACCATGTTTTTAATGTTAGTTATAATTCAGAATTGGCGACTGAAACACGTAGGACACATAAGAACATCAGGAAATAAAACGCCGATAAATATAACCTCAATAAAAGAAGTCAGTGTCAGCGGGGGTTATTACAGCTGTGTCCTGCGCTTTGTCGGTGGTAATAACAGCTCGATTACTTGCGAGACGAGCGGGTCTATCCCACGCTTGGCCGTGAG